TGTGCCCTGGAAGAGCATATTCATGTCCCTAGCTCCCTGTCTCTCTGCTTCCTGGTCACTGGAGGTTGAACAGTTTTCTCCCACAATGCAATTGCACATTAATTAATATAGTTACCTATCATCCAGTCACGGACTCCCAACAATCAGAGAACTAGAACATAGCAAAATACATCACTGTCTACCAACTGTACTTCCAAGTCTGTGGTTATTTGAATGACACTCTAGATCTTCCCTTCTACCATGCCACTCCTGGCTTAAATCCAGTCAACCACGCATTTGAATCCTCTGGAATCATGATTCAAAATAAACCTCTCCTCTTTTAAGTTGTGTGTGTTATCTATTTTGTCCCAGCAATGGCAAAATGACTAATAAAATATGAACTTTAATTATTTACTTCAAATGTAATCAATTTTTATCCTACTTATTTGAAATCTTTATTCAAAAATCTCATCGAGTTTGTAGTTGATTTATCTGAAGATAAATATTTACATAGGAGATAAATATTTAAATAGGAAAATAAGTATCCTATTTATTTGAAAATAAGTAGTTGCAATAAAATCTATTTATTTGAAATGTAATCAATTTTGTATTCGATTTATCTGAAATCTAGACAGTACCATTAGAACACCACTCATTGTTACTTCATGTGCTCAACAGCCTCATTTGGTAGCAGCTTACCTTATTATCCAGAGGTGTGTGTATGAGTGACTGTGCTTGTGTGTGTGTGTGTGTGTGTGTGTGTGTGTGTGTGTGTGTGTAATATCAAAATAAGGAAAGATCTAGAGTGTCATTCAAATAACCAAAGACTTGAAAGTACAATTTCATAGATATTGATATATTTTGCTATATTCTAGTTCTCTGATTATTGGGAATCCATGGATGGACGATGTGTAACTATATTAATTGATGTGTACATGCATTAATTATTGGTAATGTCTTGAATCAGGAACCATTTCTGATCAAAGTTTCCTTTCAACACACTTCAGGGAGACATAGAGTACTGAGATGAAAAGAAAGTGGATGCATGGGAGCTGCCACGGCCTACTCAGAGTCTTCATGAGCAAATTGAGGCCCAGATCCTCCAGTGAACAGACCACCTTCCTTTGGTTCATGGAGGAAACTACAGGGAGTTCAGAGAGTAAGACAGGAGCTTTCAGGCAGGCAGGGAGATGAGGAGTCCTGAGTGAAGGCATCTTGGGGAGCAACAGAAGCAACTCCTTGGTGCCACTTCTGCAGTCAATGCCCTTTGCTAAAAGGAAAACTCCAATATCTGCCATCCTGAGCACTCTAGATAAATGGCCATTTACTGCCTGATTCTGATCATGACTACAGAGTAGGGTAGAATGGGGAACTAGTTACCTCCTCTTCTGAGGCAGCAAGTCCATCTGAAGCAGCCACTGGCTGACTTTCCACTGTGACTTGGTCAATACAGATGTTCTGAATTGTACAGGAGGCAGGCTCTATCCTAAGAGATCCGATACCTTCAGATTCATGTCAGCAAGTTACTTCAAATGGGAGGAGACACTTCCTGACGTAGAAATCATAGCTAAATCTTACAGCACGTTTGGTGAGCTAACAAGAAAATATTTTTATCATGTTTCACGTATTTTTAATTCATTGTTAATATTTTCACATTTGGTTTAGCTTATTAATTGGCCCTTGAGATGTGTAAGGTTAATTGTCAATTTGATTGGCTTGGGAGTCAACTAGGGGATTAGAGAAGCACACTTCTGAGTGTGTCTGGGAGGGCCCTGGAGGCGTGGCCTGGGTACTGTACACTGCCCTGCCCTCCCCCCACTGGCACCATTGTGCTCTGCTTCCCTGCTGCCAGGAACTAAGCAGCTCTCCTCCACCAAGGAGATCCTGCCTTGGAGCTGGCTGACCAGGGACTGGACCTCTTGAAACTATGATCCAAATAAAACCACTGCCTTTCAGTTTTTGTGTCACAGATACTGTGCCAGCAATGGGACAGTATCTAATAGGAAAGTTAACTAATCCATCCTATTTATTTACTTTGGCTTGCTCCTAATAAACAGACTTACACATACAGACTTAAATGGAAAGCAAATAAACTCATATTTTAATGTCTCTTAAGTATCAAACATTTCCAAACATTACATTTACCCACAGTTCGGACAAGACAATTGAAGCTATTTTATGAATGTTCTCTCTCTCTCTCTCTCTCTCTCTCTCTCTCTCTCTCTCCATATTTGTGTGTGTGTGTGTATATATATATATATATATATATATATATATATATATACCATACTCTCCTCTTTCTATATACACACAAAACATCTTCAAAAGAAATAGTAGATAGCCCACAAACCCTACAATCCGAAGATATCTTTACCAGTTTATTATTTTCAGTGTTGTCTTTGTAGAGTGAGGGCTCAGTTTTTCTCTTAAAGCTTTAAATTGGTTTTCAATGTGTTCTACATGGAGACACACAGTTTCTTTCTATAAGGAAGAACAGATCTACTGTGCAGAGCACTGCATGCGAAGCCACTTCAGTGACCCTACTTCCTATCATCTATCTTTTGTTTTGCTATCTGGTTTCTCATAGAAGAGAAACCACACAATATGTAATCTAGATGGGTCTTTCTCAATGGGAAGAGAATCAACAAAGGGAGGGAAGAAGGCAAGAGGAATGGAAAGATGTATTAAGAGGTGTTGTGTACCTGAAATTCCACACAGCAATATAATCATAGTGCACTAAAAATATGAGCTATTAAAAACTGTAAAACTCCCCAAACCCTAAAAGTCTAAGAAATAACTTCAGGAAACTATTTTACAAATATTTAAAACTATGGTTACAACAACTACTACTATAAACAGTTGATGATTAGGAATTTTGTATTCTTTATTTCTTTCATCTAATTAAGTTCTCTGCTTATTGATCAAAATTCTGAAAGTTGGGCCATGGAGATAGCTCAGGCAAGTGCAAGGACCTGGGTTCGATCCCCAGTACCACATGTCTTGCCAGCCCCACCCCTGGGGCACCAAGCAGTCCACCAAGATCAGGCATGGTGGCCCACACCTGGAATCTCAGTGTTTTGGAGGCTGAAACAGGAGGATCACTATGAGTCCTAGTTGCATAGTGAGACCCTGTACCAAATACATAAAATTTAAAAAAAGTCTGAAAGTTTAAACATCACTTTGGCTTATTGCTTCTAATGAATTCTTTCACTCACTGGTCAAGATGATATTCAACTTGCAATTTCCTTTTTGTCATCCATGCAATAAATGTTCATTTGATTTGTTTTGTATACATTCACCATGGCTACATTTCTCTAAGAAAATTGCTGGAGTCACTCCCTGCACTCCAAACGCCCGAAGCGTTTTAGTGTTTCTTCAAACAACCACCATTATCTTCTAAAATTTTATGTAATATTATGACAAGATCTTTTCAGTTAAACATACACATCCAGAAATAGATTCTGTCCCTTGCAGACAGGAAGTAGGTCCTCGGTAGTGACAGTTACAATGTCACAGACCTGGAAACTATGGCAGAATAACAAAAGCAAAATTGTTCTCTACAAAGACCTTGTCAATCCCCTGGTAGATCAAGGGTGGCTGCTTCACTCCCTAATTCTTCCCTCAGTTCTTTCCTGAAATGAAAGTTAAGCTTTACACAGTGATCCCCACTTCATTGGTCAGAGAATGTTTTGTGCACCCTTCATCTGTGTTTTGGGGTGGGGACGCTTACACAAGGTTGGAATTTGTTCTGCATGCTACAGACAAGTCCTGGACTTTTATGGGAGCGACCTGAGATCAAAGTAAAGAATTGATTAAGCTCATGCTCTATTTGAAATCTTCAGAATGAAGGAAACCAGCTCTGCAGTTTGAGACAAAGCCAAGACCACCATTCTTAAAAGTAGTTAAAGGACCAATACATGGCTGCTCTCAAAAGTCCATCAGTGGTGAAGAGAAATGAAAAAAGAATCCGTGGTGTCCTTGTATTTGCCACTTACAGAGACTGTACCAGTTCAGCAAACAGCCTCTTGGAGTCTTTCTTTAATTGCTTCACACTGAAGAAGCACGCATGAAATAGCAAGGCTTACACTCTGTACCCAAGCAAACCCGACTTTGACTCGATATGGTATCCCACCTGTCACTCACTAGGTCAGTGACTTTAGAAGAAGGCTTCCCCATCAGAGTCAAAGGCCTCACACAGAAAATAGAAACATACACAACCCGAGGTTGCTGTGAAAGGAGGGAAAAAAATCAGAAGTACATGCTGCAGTGCCTGAGAGTGTTTGGAACGAGATAGGTCTGAATTAATATCGGTTCCCCTTTTTTCTCTTCGTGTATCTGCTGCAGCGAATGGACTTCTGGCTTTGAAATACGAAACTTCTCCCCTCCCCCATCGGTGCACTTTCAAGTTAGCACAAACTTAAGAAAAGATATCCAGAAGTGACAGCCCAAATTCAGTTCTAGTTAACGCAGGAGTTTTTTGAAAGGAAAATAAATGAATAATTACATGTTACACCTCACGTTCACTATTAACAGTGGAGATACCAAATTTTCTTCACCCTCCTCGTTTACAGTGTATATTCTAACTATACCACTTTCTTTAAACAACACCCCCACCCCCGCCAAGCCTTTAGGCTAAAATGACAGACCGTGGGATCCTTTCTAACTACTATCTATGCATGACCTGCCCTTTAGTCTGTGCATTCACAAAGTTAATAGGTCAAAGGTGGGAATGGAAAAAACTGGCTTCGCTGTAAACCGTCTAACACGCCACGCCGGGAGAGACGACAGTGTGCGTTACACACTGAGCAAGGGGCAGAGGTGGAAGAGAAGATACAGTTGCACGAACTTTTCTCCAGCACAGTTCTGTCGTAGCACTGCACTCCTGTCACACGCGAAAAGGTTTTGGAAAGGAGGTGCAACTTCAAGAAGAAACGGGTCGCCACTTTCCCCCCAGGATTTGTCCTCCCGCGAGGTCCACCGAGGAAGCGGGGTCACCGACTGCAATTTCAGACCCGACTCACCCAGCTGGAGCTGCTCGCAGGTCCGGTTTGGATTCCTTCCGATTCTGCATCTGTAAATGGCCCCGGGGTGGACCACGGACGCGTTGGCGAGCCAGGTGGCCGTGGGCGCTCCCACGACGAGCCTGGGAAGAAGGGCGCACGTGGCTCAGAGCTTGCAACGAGCCGCTTGGCACCCCGCGCCGCCCCACCAGGCTCCCCACCCGGGGAGCGGAGTCCCCGCCACGGCTCACCAGCGGTCCGGCCCGTGGCCGTGTAGAACCACAGAGTAGCCAAACAGCGAGTCGGGGGCGCCCCGGAACAACAGCGCGCTCTCCGTGTCCACATTGTAGGGGCGCCCTCCGGGGAACCCCACGCTCAGCAGCAGCAGCAGCAGCAGTGGCGGCCGCGGCGGCGGCGGCGGCATCACCGCTTCCCGGATGGCGGCCCCTGGGGCCTGAGCGCACGCTTGGCGTTGGGGAGCACCATCCACCAGCGCTGGGCTCCGGCCACGGCTGGAGGGAGCGCCCTAGATGCCGAGGCGCGGTGCGTCCGGGCGGGGAGAAGGGCGGCGCAGGGGAAGGGAGGGGAAATGGGCCGCGGCGGGCGGAGCGACCAGGGCCCCGAGGGCTGCGCCCCCCGCCCTGTGCCCGGTTTCTGCGGCCTGCGGTGCGGGCGCCCTGGCGCGGTCCGGGGCGCCGGCCCAGGGTGGAGTCCGGGGCGTGGTGCTAAGCGCGGGATCTGGCTTCGTCTCCCCCCTGCGCGCAGCTGTAGGGGGCGCTGGGGGACCTCGGCTGCGCCGTGGCCGGAGCTGGGGCGCAGCCAGCGCGGACCGCAGGGGACCCGACTTGGCCCTTGGCCAGCCAAGGTGGCCTTAAGGCCAGCCTGGAGCGGGTGCCGGGGCTGCCACCCCGCAGCTCTTCGGCGATGAAGTCCTGCGCGAGATCCTTCTTAAGCAGAGGCTAGAAAATTCCCCCGCCAGGCAAAAATTAAAAACAAGAGGAGAAGAAGAAGCGCCTTGGTAATGTTTTGGTGTCGTAGGCCAGAGGGCCATCGCGGCCTTGCGCCCTTTCTGCCGACTTCCTTCCTCCCCGCACTTCCCTTCTGCCCCGGCCTGGGCCTCGTGGGAAAGGACAGCGCCTCCGGCCCTGCTGGCCCCAGGGACAGTGGTGGGTGGATGGCCAGGCGATGGGATCGGGATCCCATCGGGGCCCTCAGCAGACTCTTCGCTGCTCTGTCCCGTTCTCACCACACGATCAGTGGTCAGGGCCCCAATTCAACCCCGGAGTCTCTTCCTGAGCAACCAGAGAGACAGCCACAGGTGCTTAAGGCCAAAACTGGCCTGGCGAGGGGCGGGCTCCCGTATTCATCACTGCAGATGTAAAACCCAAAGGAGGAAGAGAAGTCTGCGTGCAAGGAAGGGGCTCTGCGCGAGCACGCTGAAGCGCAGCCCAGACTCCCTGTAGCGCAGACACACGCGAGAGCCCCTGCTCCAGACAGCCTCGAGACTCACCGTTCACACACATTACGTTCTGGGCCCTCAGGGAACCAAGAGGGAAGTGGAACTGTGACAGGTGCTGGGGGTGGCCTCCCTGACTAGCTCGGGAAAGCTTAGGTGCGTTCAGGACACTTAGAGACAGGTGAAGGGAGAGGGGAGCAGCTGAGAAGGGGAAGTGCGAGGGGGTGTGTGTGGCTCCAGCAGGCCTGCCTGGCGCTGAGCTGCTGCCCTGTGGGCCTGACCCGGAGGAGAGCGGCGGCGGCCCATCCTGACTGCCCAGGGCGCACACTCACTGCAGACCTGTGTGGGCTTCACAAGTGCAGATTAAGACCCCGCATTGTGGAGGCTTCTTCAGGAAGAGGCAGAGAGCTAGGATGAGGACTTGAGACGAAGTAGCGGGGCTAGCGGGGTGGAGGGGAGGAAGATTCCAGAGCTGCCTGAGAGGCAGAGCCCGCAGGACTTGGAGCTTGGCACACATATGAACGGAGTCTCAACCGTAGTCAGGAAAGTTGACTGACTGCTGGTTCACCAGAAACAAAACCCACTGAGAAAACAGGGTGTGTGTGTGTGTGTGTGTGTGTGTGTGTGTGTGTGTGTGTTCGAGGTGGAGGTATTGATGAGTTCAGTCGTGGACATCTGCAGTTTGAGACGTTTGTGGACTGTTGGAAAACTCCAGCCAGACTTGCCCCAAGTATTTTTACTCTGTCCATCAACAAAACAAGAATACACACTTTGTCTTACTATTTACAATGAAGTAAAAGGCTAATAA